TGCGACTTTTTCCTGTTCCCGAAACTCAAATTGTCCCTTCGTGGTAAGCGTTTTGAGTCGATTGAATCGGTAATAGAGAATTCGCTGAAGGAACTAAAAGCCATACCTGCACGGGTCTACGAAAAGTGTATGGAAGATTGGGTTAAGCGTTGGCATATGTGTATCGCTTCAGAAGGAGCATATTTTGAAGGAGATAAAATAAATTTGGTATAAAATTTAAATTTGTGTGTTTTATTTACAAAATCCGGGCACTTTTTGAGCTGGAGGTACAAGTAAAAACATTAACTTTTAGCCCTAATAATTCAATGTAATAATGTTGATATATGCTTTGCTAAAGTAGTACGATTGCACACATCTCCTCATACTTCATAACCTTACCAGCCGAAATTTAAGTCATTAGTTATTTTGGGTGACTTTCGGTGGTTACTATCCATTCAACTGGTTACCGAATTGATTCTAAGGTGTAGTGGTTGATCCAAGTTTCACACACTATTACAAACAAAAAATTTATGTTTATTTTTAGAATTACAGAACCTTTGTTGCTTTTGGATGATCTCCAAAATACTTCTATAGTATTATCCAATGTTATTGCAAATTAGTATTTATATTACCTTCTGATACCTTTAAAGTGTCAGCTAATTTCGCTGAGTTTAATTTTACGCTCATTCAAAATGTTTCATTGATTTTGATGGAACAAGGCATTAATGTGTGTGTAGAATATTGTTTCTATTTAAAACAGTGTTAAATTTACACTAGAAAATGTTTCTTTCGCATTCTTGTATTAGAATTCATGTATTTTTATATTATAATTCTTCTTATAAATATGACTTGGATTTAATCAGTGAATGGATTTCGAGTTGAGCTCTACACTTTAATACGAGATATTCGATCAGAATACGTCTAGAACTTAAATAAAATATTTTATTTCTGTCTGCTATTGCCAGTCATGTATCTTTAAAACAAGTGTTTTATGTAAATCTGAGATGCACATGAGATCTTTGACAAGTGAAAAATAAACATGTGAATGATTTTCGAATAAGTGAATGCTGGATTTTAAATGCAAGTTTAATCAAGAATCACAGACAGAAGTAGTTTTGTGTTCTCTCCTCTTTATATTGTTCTATTTCTCATACGACTTAAACAGTAATTGTTTGTGAAATGCTTCACTAATCATGAAATAAAAAAAAAACAAAATTTTAGAATAAACCCTCAGAGCCATATAAAAGTACAAACCACTGTTGCAAGCGCTCTCTTAAATACTTCCCCCTTGAAGTGCGTGTTGCTAGCAGAGTAAGAATGTTAAAGCCTTGTATTTTGCTGAGAGCAGTATTTTTAGCAAAACGTACATTTATTTGTGTAGTTCTAAAATAAAAAGATTTTTTCAATACAACCCGGTTTTTTAAAAACGTTTTTTTATAGACTTTATAAGCTAAGTGCATAATTGCAACGTCCATTCTACAAGCTTTTAAGGCAGTATAGGCCAGTAGAACTACCGTCAATCGTGGAACATTCGTTTCCTATCTGCTTATTACCTTTCCTATTTGCTCGATTCATACCAGTCGGTTTCCATCTACGTCCGTTAATTGAAAGTATAAAGTTAATTCGATGTTAATATTTCTTTTCATGCCAGTTTTTTCAAGTGACACTGGTATGATTCTTTTCTTCAATGCTAAAAGGAATTAGCTTAAACCACTAACGTAAAATGTTGTTACCCTCAATATATCGCTTACCAGATAATTCGGGAATATCACAAAAGTACGTTAAGCGCAATAGTTCACGAACACCGAGTTATTGATTTCGATCTGAACACTCCTATAGTTTTAAAATTCAATTATTGGAACTTTCAAATAATTTTACAAATATATATATGAACAACTTTTTCAATAGAAACATATTTTTCAAAAATAATCCTGTAGGTGCTATATTTTCAACTTCTAGTCATAACAACCGACAACCGTCCGCTTTGGGTAATCCATTTTTCAACAAATTTATGGTCACAATTATGCCAAAATTTGATGTTTGCTTTCGCCAGAGCCTCTGAGGACATTTTCCACTTAAACATATAATCTCATGAAATCGCATATAATAAGAGCTGACGAGCTATTTATGTCCTGTGTAGCATTTCTGTGCCACAAGACAATTTGAAGTGCGCCACAATGCAAATGTTTGACATGTAAAATGTTTTTAAATGTTAATTGCTCAAAACCAGAGACGAAAAGTTGTCAACCCAAAGCGTAAACCACATAAAACATAGTTCAAATTTGTTGTTTGCATTGTTAAATTAAAAATATTTAGAGATGTGATGATGGCTCCAGAGACTCAGCAGCTCAAAATGTAAGAGCATTCAAAGTTTCTCCACCGAAGTTGGTAACAGTTATAACCTAATAATTGTCTGGTCGCACTTATTCAGCCTTCAACTTAAACTTATTTTAACTGCTAAATTAAGTTCTCCGCTCGTCAGTTTATCAAGTGTTTTTATTATTTGTTTAGCAAACCCCGGAACACGGTGGTGTACGGCCTTACTCTCAAGTGTATAGTAAATAGAAGTGGCAATAAATGCTTAAAACTTTAAGCAGCTGTGTTAAAATAATAATTGAAAATTTGTTTATTCATTTAGTGGAAATAATTTTTGTAAGTAAAGGCAGTACTAACTCGTTTACTTGAGATTCTTATGGATGAAACTGAAGTTCGTTCAATACTCAACTCCATACATTACAGCTTTTAAAGCAGTAAAAATGTTGGGTAAAATTTATGTTGCATTGCGGTAAACTATTAATTTATTATGCACTTAAGTAGCAGAGAGTGAGTTATAATGAGACATCCGATACCCTAAAAAGTGTATTTATTTTTAATCAAACTAACCAGCCGAATCCATCTAGCTGCTTCCAATAACTCTCATCTTTAGTTATTTCCAAATTTCGTTACCCTCTATATGTATTTTCACCAAATCTATATGTGAAATTTGTTGGTTCAATTTATAATATTGTATATATCTCTATTAAAACTGAATGAATCGGTTGCATAGTCCAAGTAAGTCAGTTTACAGCAACTAAAGATGACAACCACAATTATTTGCTTAAACTCTCCTTAAATTTTACCAGTAAACGAATTTGAATCTATAAGAATACACAAAAAAGCGAGTAAATAATCATGTATTCTTTTAAATATTCCACTGACCTTTCGAAATGTCATCAGAAAATGAAGCACCAACACTAAAAGATTGGTTTATCTGCTAGCACTTGATGATATTGATTTAATAACCAGGTTAAAGTCAGAACTACAAGTAAATGGGCTTAGTATTAAGGGCATGAAAACAATAGTATATAGTACAATAGTATAACTGTGGATATCGATTTACTGCAGATGATATCGATTTATCAATCGATATCATAGAACTATAAGAAAATGGGCTTAGTATTAAGGGGTTGAAAACCGTAGTATATAGTATAATAATATAACTGTGAAAACTGAGTTCACAGTAATGAAAACTGGGGACTATCAACATTGTACGGTTATGATAGCGTCAATTGAACTCTAATTTATTAATCTATTTTTGTTTTTTGTATTTGTCGTAACAAAAGTAAACATCACTTCCAACAACACTAGGCATAAACTGAAGACACCGGAATATAGTTATGTTCTAGTAAATAGTTTCACATATTAGTTACTTACAACAAAGTATATAACGGAATATCTTAGCATCTTACAAGTAGAAACCTATATGGGTAAACAGAAGTTTAACTTTACTAAACACTGATTATTCGAGACTTCACGTATTTTGATGAAAAATGTATTTTGTTGTTGTACAAGTAGCATAGTGTTGCAAAATAGAATTTAGACTACAAAAATTCAGTCTTTTCTGAGCCAGTACAGATATTAAAATGAAATTTTTATATATTTTTCGAGTATTGCCAAATACCCATCATCAGTGGTCTTGGAAAAAATTCTTGTATTTAATTATTCGTAAATAATTATTTTTAAGACTGCAAGTACCAGGAATCGAACTCAGGTCCTGCCAAATGTGAAGCTCAGAATCAGCGTACCTTAACCAACTGATCCAAAGCCGTACTTGACTTTTTATGTTGGCATATATTTCTGGAGTTTTATTACTTTTGTTATGAAAGTTAGTTTATTGTAGAAAAAAGTTCAAAATGAAACTTTTTGGACCGTAGTTATATAGAATTCAGAATTATATAGAGTTAGAATTTAGCTCACTAAATTTGTTTTACTTATTATAGTTTTTGAGGTATTCCAAAAAGTTGAAATGTATACGATGTTTTGTTTTAAATTTGTAGGAATTCCGGTAAGTCGATTGGGCTCAAAATACATTCTCTATTTGAGAATGTAAATACATTCTCAAGAAAGCAAATCCCAAAAATTTTATTTTACTTTTAATATATAAAAGTTTTATTTTAATATCTTTGCTGGCTCAAAAATTAACAAATTTTAATCATATAATCTCAAATTTTGTAACAATATTCGTCGTTGAGATGCCGAGGATGTTATACCTACAATACAAATTGAAGAATTAAGATTCGTCGCGCTACACACTACGGAATATATTGCATCTATTTAGGTTCGTAGCAGAAAAAGGTTATCATGAAGGTAAATATATTGTCTCGAAAATGATACAGCAAGCATAAATACGAGAAACTATAAGATAGGTACGGAGAACAAGGATGAGTGGAGACAAATCTCGATGCAAGAGAAATCCATTATGGGTTCTTAAGCCAAATAATAATGATGGTGTTTGCATTTTAATAATTCTGAGAAATTATTAATATTATCTAATTATTTTAATTTAATTAGTAATCAATTAAAATCAGATCGGATGTTATTGACAAAATTGTTTTAACATTTAGTTTGTATTTAGTGTCACAGTTTTTGAATCTGATTATCTGTTTTTGAAGTCTTTACTTTTGGTTTTGCTTCTAACTCATTACGATTTAAAGATTAATTTTTTCTAAATTCAAAATTCATTACTCGTATACATCTTTCCATAAAAACAAGTGCCTTCCATTACCGGCGTTATGCCAATAATTGTAAAAAGTTATTGTAATCATAAAAAAAAAACAAGTGAAATCTTCCCACAATCCGGAGTGAATCTGCAGTTAAGACATTAAAACGGGTACCAAAGTAATTTGAGTAAACAATATTTCTGGAAGCAAAGTGTGACAAGTGCGAAATATGAGATTCAAATAAAAACATTAAACCCATATCTGTACTCCCTTCGCTTCAAATTTGAGGCAAATAAGAGAGACGGGTTTCACTGGTTTCACTGGTTGCACAGTTGCATAAGTGGCGGGATGTTATTTCGGGCAATTATGACAGTGGTAGTGTCAAGTGCTACAAATGCTCACAGTGGACAAATCAAAACTAGGTATTAAAAAAATTGCAGCAAAATACAATGAACACAAAAAGCTAAATCAACAACCGTAATCACAGGGGTTGCAACTGTTGTAGGAAGACATCATTGGCGGCGTCAATAACTGGCAACATCCAGTTGTAGCAGACTAATCAAAGCGCGTTGCTAGGTCACGTGGCAGCCGAGAAAGGAAGTAGTACGCATTCAAGTAACGATATAATGTTCCCCTGTACACTGAGCAGAATCTACATATAATTTTTTTTATAGAAATGTTTCGCATACGAGTAAGCCAATTAAGTAGATACATCAGTGCAATCTGAAGTAACTTCTAAAAAACAAAAAAAAAACAAAAAAAACAAACAATTGAAACAGAATAATACTGGAGAGATTTTAATGCGCTACAGTGCTTGTAAGTATAGTTTATTTAACATATAAGACGTACAATTCAAATTATTCATGAAATTTGTTTTTCAGAACCTAGGATCTAAATATTCTAAATTCGGTATAAGTGTATTTTACAAATGTATATGTTAGAATAATAACTCTCCTTTGACAAATAGTAAATTTCATAGGAGGTTTTTACTTTGAGAAATTCATTGACTTGGACTCAGTTGCTTGAATAACACTAATATTATTTCTTATTACAACCAGAGGTTATAAAGAAGGTTGAGTAGCGTCAGACCTACGTCAGTTTGAATTTTTTCTATGTCCGGGATCAACATTTTAAAATGAAAGTAATAATAAAATAAGACAATTTGATTATTAGTTTTAGTAATACACTTTTCTTTTAAAGCCTAGAAGTTGAGATTTCGACACATCAACAAAACACATCAATGTCTCTTATACCCATATATTTGTTGGGATAATAATATACCGAATCATTTGAATTTTTTTATTAACGGAAGCGAATGGCTAACGGAAGTGCTTCTAATAAATAAGTAGCTACAAAATTGGGTATTAAAAGAATATAACAGTAAAAATTATTCCCAAAAATTGAGTTTATTTTAGTCGGATGGGTCAGTTAAAGTATCTATTTATTTAATATCACTTAATTGAACTATTTCAAAACAAAATTTAAAATTGTCTTCCGATATTATTTGATTGTAAATATTCTATTAGTATTAAAACTGAGTTCTGCCTAAACCCTACATTTGTGTTTGAATCCCACAATAGAGCTTTAGCTGTAACTTTCAACTTTCAAATTATCATACAAATTGCACATAAAATTAGATTGATATTTAAAAATTTATAATTTGCATTAGATAGATCTGAAAACTTAGTCGCCAATTGAGGTGCTGAAGTGAAATGTTTGATATTATAAATAAAGGTAAAAGATAATATCAGGAGTTTACTGTACAAATTTACGACATGCTTGTTAGATATAGAGGCGTTTAATGAGTGAAATAATAATACATTCAGTATCGTGATGGTGTGAACATGTTGATATCGAAGATGTAGGGTTGCAACAACGTATGTTAAATAACATAATTTTGTATAATAAAGCAAAAACAGATAGATCTGTAATAGATCTGGTAAACTTAAATGTCAAGAAAAAAGTATGTTATTTTGCTGAAGTGATAGAGACTGAAGACGTGTTGTTATTATATATATAGTTGAAGGCGATAAATAATAATAATAAAATAATAAAACGTTTTTTGAATGAAATAAATTGGTTTTATTTATATGTTTGTCTGATTTGAGCAATATACAAATATTGTTCAAATATTGTTTAAATTATAAAATTTATGTCATAATGTACACAATTTTTATAGGGCACATTGCATTGTGAGCGTAAAATCTATTATGACCCATAAGATCCTAAAATAATTAGTTTGTCCATATAAACGTTTAACATGTATAGCTATTTGTGTGTAGATAACTATTAAAATATGGTTTGATATATATACCATAGAGTTAACTATATAAGCATCATAAACTGATATGTAATTAAAGTAGCGTATTTGCCACAGCCACCAATGCCGACAATAATTTTATATATTTATTTTAAGTGCTTTGATTGCACAGCAACAGTTTTTGTAAGAGCATACAAAACAGGTTGATAATAATCTACGGCACTGGACGTTTCGCTAAATACCGTTGAGAGTTATGAACGTCTGCTTGGGGATTTGAAAATTTTGAAAAATTCATTTTTTAGACTTGCGAATTTATGAAATTGTTTTTTAGGTTTGCAATTTTTAATTTCATTTTTTAAATTACTTTTCAGGGAACGAAAAATTAAAGTATCTTATAAATTTATTAGTTTCCTTTCAAAAATTCATTTAGTTTACTTCTACCTACATCATAATTCGTTATAATAAAAAAGTTTCAAATAGAAAGATACAAACAAATCATCATATAAATTTATAGAGCAATTCTGGCAAAGATCGTTGAAAGTCTTGCTTAAGATCTTTGTAAGATCGGCTATAAGACCGTTTGTAAGATTTTAGCTACTCTGCCTCAAAAGTACTTCAAAAAAAGGTTTATCATTTGTAATTTGTGGTAGAAATCTGTTTCGTTTTATTCTTTCGTGGTGAAATCAAAAACAGCTGCTAATCGTTATCGCATGCAAGTTAACAATTGAATTTTAATACAAAAGTAATGGAAAGCCGCAAGATGTATGTTCTATTATTATAATTTATACATAAATAATTATTAACTGACTTTAATTCATGTCTTAAAAGAAATGGTAGGAGCTGTTGCTGCATTAAACATAGCAGTGTTAAAAAAAAAATTAATTAGTTTTAAAATTAGAACTGAAAGATATGTAAGTTAAATAAATATAGTCAAACTTCCATAACTCGAACTTCTATAACTCGGGTTTTCAATAACTCGAACAGGGTTTAGAGCGCATATTGTATACAATGTCAAAAATATTCTTTAACTCGAAGTCTCCATAAGTCGAAACTTTTCTTTGTAAAATGATACTTCGAGTTATGAAAGTTTGACTGTAGATGAATGAATCAATGTTAAATAATTATTATTAAATACTAAATTGTAAATATATAAATAATACATGTACTATATTATCCATATATGGTATAAATAATTAAAATATATATTTTAAAAATTTTTAAACATACTACAGTATATCAATACATTTACGTTTGCGTCATTTTAAAAACGAAGTTAGAAATAATTAATTAAATAATTTACTAATAATTAATTAATAATTACTTTAATTAATTAATTTATGTTTTTATTATTCTAATTTTTAAGTATTTTATTGTATCAAGAAAGAAGTTTTTGCACAACAAATATAAAGAAAATCTTAGCTGACAATGTACCTGTTTAACAACAGGTCTTTCATTTGGTCTTCTGAAAGACCGTAAACAGCCTTCAGCCCTGCACAAGACCGTTACGAAAATACAAAAGATCTTTCAAATGATCTTTCACAAGATTTTTGAGTGTGGTGAGCTGAAAGATCTTTACCAGAATTGTCCTGTTAATGTATTAGTTTGAATAATATTTTATTTTGAACTATATATTTTTAATGGGTGTCAAAATTTATAAAATATCCAAAAGATATGTGTTTTAATATTTGTCATATATATTATAATTGTATATGTAATTTTAATCATGAAAGGAAGTAGTAGTTTCTTTTTTCTTTTTTCAATATAATAAATATAACATACTGTAGAAGTAATATATAAAAATGTTTTCAATGATATTATACATGGCATTGAGGACAATAAATTTCAGATAGATTTCTTTAGTTTGCAGTGAGAGATGTTTAAAATTGATGCTTTCATTAATGGACATCTTTCTTAACTCCTCAAATGTTGTTAGTACCCAGTCTTGGAGAGTGTTACGGATAATTTTGCTGCACCAGTCAGTGATTGAATCCATTTTTCGAATTATAAGTTCTTTTTTGAATATTTTACATTGTATTGTATAATATTATATATATTGTATTGGTATAGTGGAAGGGGTGTTAAGAGTACACCGATTAGAGTAGTAATTGTTTGTACTTTATATGAAATGTAAAAAATAGAGATTAGGGACATTGAAAAGTTAATACAGATGGAGATAAGAGATCATCTGCTAAACAGAGCTTATACTCTAACAATAAATATATAAGATATTCCGATTATGAGGAGTATATAATCTAAAATTCATTAAACAAAATTCTTACATTCTTACATTTACGCTGGTGAAGCGTAACATATATATTATATATATCTCAAATTTATATACATATTTGCATTATATATAAAACTTATGCATCCATAAAACGTAGTTAATAAATAACGTGAACTCTATTAGATGACATTCCCTTAAAATCAATTTAGTTTTTCCCCTATTTTCGCGGCTTGGCTTGTAATTGGTATGCATTGTATGAACGGGTCGTCTGTTGCGGGGTCGAGAATTTTTTGTCTAAATTATTTATATTTTCGCGTCATTATATCCTCAGTATAGACAGCGTCTTTAAATCTGAACCTTAACTGGCAGTAAGATGGTATACTATATTATTTCCGAATAATCGCATGATGTGGCGTAGAATGCAGTTGACAAGGCGCTGCTGGTGGCTATGATCTAGCTCTCATTACCACACAAAAATATACCTCTAACATTGAAGTTAAATAATCTTATTTTTTGTGTATAGAGAAATATTTAAGGATCCCTACATTTTTTCAAGAATTTCAAAGCTTGCTGAGTGTGATATCAATTGCTTTTTAAAGAAAAACGGAGATATAACGAAGAGGGTCAGTCTTCTCTAAGTTTAGAGTGCTTTTTATAAATCTTGGAAAAAAAAGAGCTTTGCATTTAATGGCTGTCCATTCAGAGTAAAGGGTGTGGAAAGATAAAACCTTAGTAGTGCTTATGATAAATAAAATAAAAATTTGCTTCTGCAATTTGATTTTTATTTACATTATTTAAGTTCTCTAGAAATATTTATTATCATTTAATATTATTTAATTGTCAGTTTATAAAATTTGGGAGTTGAAATTTCTGAAATTTTGGGATAAAAAAAATCAGTTACAAATTTATGCGCCCAAAAACTTTTAATTGAAAACCAAGAAACGCGCCCATTAACGGAGGGCTTAACAGAATCAAACCAGCAACGGCTGTCGTGATAAGTTTCACATTTAATTTATGGCACTCAATTAAACCAATGAAATAATATATAAATAAATAGGTGTGTGTGTATGTAGTTGAAGTATGTGGAGTATATGCGTTTGTGTATTAATTTGCGTTGGGGTCTGTGGAAGCCACCGGAAACACTTCGCAATGTACTCGCCAGATTTGAATTTGTGCCTTACCTGCTATTGTTGCATGTAAGGTACGAGTAATTTGCCGCTTAAGCTCACGCACAAGTTTGTGTTTGCGTGTGGCCTTTATCCTTTCG